AAATTTAAAAAAAACTATTTTAAAAATGTCTATAAAAATAACCTATAGAGAGTATACTCTCTTAAAATGAAATAGTCAAAATTCTACTATTTGAATTAGTACCATCATTTTTTACTAATAAAATAGTCGTTTTCACTTTTAAATAGTTATTTTTTACCACGTAAATAGTTAGTTTGACTAATTTAAGATTAGTCACCATCTTTGACTATTTCTGAGAGTTAAAAGTAACTAATTTCTTTAATCGTTTGCGGCCAACAACAAAGTATTATTTGAATTAAATGCATATAGGCTCCATGGTTAAATGGTCCATAAAAACAAAGAAAGATGCAAAAAAGCAAAACAGCAACACAAATAATATATTCAACTTTAAAATATTATGAACAATATTTATTGACAAATAAAATTGATTTTTATAGGAGCGACGGATAGCCACATTGGTTATGACAACAGCTTGTCAAGCTTGACAAGTGACAGACCTGAGTTCAATCCCCGGCTGGGTCAAAACTTTTTTAAATTTAAATCTACTAATTTGAATATTTCATTCAGTAGAATTTGATTATTTATTAGTGACTGCTATTTCGCTATGTCAATTAGTCAAATATGACTTATAATTAGTTATTTTCGACCCACCCTATTGCAGAAGCAATAAATTTTAAGGATGTAGTAGATATTACACTAGGGTGATTTAAAAAAACCTTTTTTTATTTTTTTTTCTCGGAACCACGCTCAAAAGTTTCGTATAGATATAAGAATGAGCCTGTGAAAAAATGAGCTCTTAATTTCAAAAGTACGATGCGAAACTTTTCGATTTTCCATAAGAATAACAGGAAAAATTATTTTTGTTTCTTTTTATTTTTGTAACTAACGAACATTTGCTAATGTCATTTTACATTTGAACTACCGGAAAACAAAGGGTGGTTTCTTTGGACGGCTTGTAGTTATTGCATACTACGGCAATTAGGTGATAAAATTTAAAAATAATTAGGTTGTTTATCAGATAATTGCCGTCTTGATAAAAAATATTTTTATTTAATATTTCTATATTAGTGCCCTACTAATTAATTAATATTGCACACAAGGGGATTTTGGATAGATTTATTTGTTTTTTGTAGGAATCAATAAAATAATGTGTTTGGTTTTAATCAACTTTAATAAAACATTTTTCGATTTTACATACTACACACTATTTATTTGAATAAATAGCAATTTAATAGCTGTATAAAATAATGCTTGCATTTATACATTAAATCCAAACAATATTAGGTAATATAATACCAATTATATTTACAAAATAAATACTTAATTTAAAAATACTCGCATTTTTATCAGTCAACACTTTGGGCTTTGGTATGGTTTTTGGCTTGTTCACTATTAGGATGGATCACGAAAAAATTTTTCATCATTTAATGATGGCGGTGTTTATCGATGAAAATATTGATGCTTCTTTAACACTTTAAAAAAAGTTTGACGTAAATTGCATGTAAACATATTAAAATATGGGTACTTACATTTTCTTTATAATTATCGACGTCTTATTTACTATTATATTACACATGTTATATTCGCTTCCAACTTATAATTATAGTCCACCTATTTAGGCCACGCGACAAAAACAACGAGAAAAATGGAACATCTAAAAAGACGCTCTATATATTAGCCAAAAACGTTTTAGTATAAATTCACATTTTATATTTATTTTTACTTATTTATACCTAAAATAATTGTATTATTACACAAATTAAATGTGTAATTACCTAATACATAAATAATTACAAAAAGAAATTAAATGCCCATGGGCATATACAAATGTGTAAATTTAAGAAAAATAATGCATTATTTTTCTTAAATTTACACATTTGCATATGTAGCTACTGTATTTTTTTATTCTTGTTGTAAAAAAGAGTAGAAATATATGTAAAAAATATGATATTTTACCATAATTTTGTACAGTGCATGTTTGCAAAAAGAAAAACAAAGTTTATTTTTAATTCTTCTTTTTTATTTTTAAAAGCTTCACCCTAGTAAACATTTAGTAAATTTACCATTATTTTTAACATTGTAGTCTTTTTTGATATGTAGGTACCAAAACTAATAATTAGTATTAATAGGTATATGGTACCTACATACATATAACACTGTTAAAAATAATGGTTAATTTACTAAATAACATTATAATTATTATCTAAGCAAAATAAATAAATTGTTTCATTTCAATTTTTAGTTTCCTCTCATTTTAATATAAAAAATATGGGAGGCAACTTGCAACCTTGAAATTTTGTAGATCCGGGCCTGATATTAATTATAATAATAATAATTCATTGGATATCAAATTTTTTTTATCTAAAATAGCTTCAGTAAGTTTCAGTCTGACTACTTAATAGTTATTACTAATAATATCTTATAAGTAATAGTACATTCCTTGTAACCTATGATTATTGGGTAAACACATATACACTTTAGGTGTGTTTTTAGCGACAGTAGGCTGGTAACAATTTTAAAAAAATAATTAGTTTTTAATGTTATACTCGGAACCAACTTTTAAATTACCTAACTAAAGCTAATTATTATAAGTTTTTGGTATTTAAAACAATAAGTTAGAACCTTATTAACAAAACTTTGTCAAAGTAAACCAACTTATCTCTAATTACATGTTAAAATCATTTATTTGGAACAAAAGGCCTGTTATTAAAAGCAGTGTTAACTTACATTATATTTATTTAAGTATCAACCTAATTATTCATCGTTAAATCTAACCCGAATTTATAATGCTTGTGGCAGGAAAACTGGCAAGATAAAAGTAAACTTCAAGGAGGCAAAACCTCGAGGGTTTGTATTTCACATATTAACTCGCCTGACTTATCTATAAAATGCTGTAATATTTCAAGCATAAATATAAGTTTAATTAGATTAAATTATACTAAATAATTCACAAAGCTGAAATCAACTTAATATTGTAAACTTTACATAGGTAAACAAATTTTAAAAAAGCACAACATAATGATCCCAGCAAACATTAATCAGCGGCCGACGGTCGGCAACATGATTATCTTTTTTGGGCGTCGGCCCGACGTTTGGCCGACATCATTCTTTTGGACGGCAAAGGGTCAGTAAATGATTATTGAAACACAACATACTGCCGCCAGCGGGCCAACATTGACATTTGATTATACGAATAAAACAGCAATTTTACGTTGGCACTTTATCGCTATTATGATAGTATAAATCAACTTCTTTTTAACATAAAATAAAATTGTTTTTAAAATATATATTTTTTGGCCAAAAAAACTTTAATAAGCGGCATTATGGCGGTCCGACGTCGGCAAGACGATCATTTCCATGTCGGTTGATGGTTATTTTGAAACATCAGCCCGCCGTTGCCTTAAAGACATCGGCCCGCCGTTGTTTAAAGACATCGGCCCGCCGTTCTTTAAAACATCAAATTACAACATACAACCGCCGTCAGGCCGACGGTGGCGTTTAATTATACGAATAAAACGCAAATTTTCGTTGGCACTGGTATAAAATATGTACCTTTAGTCCAAGGTGCCGTTCATAAATTACGTCACGCAAATTTTGACCTCCCCGATTTAGAACAGGATGTATTCAGAAAAAAAAAATTGCCGGCAAGTTTTTAAATTATGTATAAAAAAATGGGAATTTTCATTAAAACCGAACCAACGTTACGTAACAGTTGATGTAACCCCCTCCCCCCATGTCACAACTTGTCACGTTTTCATGGACCCCCTCCCCCCTAACAGTGTGACGTAGTGTATGAACGGCCCCAAAGCAAAAATTTAAATTATTTTTAAAATATATTTTATGAGCCTAAAAATCAATAAGCGGCATCATGGCGATTCGATGTCGGCAAGATGATCATTTTCATGTCGGCTGCTTATATAAAAAAGCATTAATCCCGAAAACATGTTAAAATTTAAGGTTAACCTAATTAGAACACGCCAGGGCAATGTTTGCCAGAACCGGGCAAAATACGCGAATTTAGGGTAATTTGGTAAAATATACTTAAAAACTTATAATGATTAATAATTTATTATTTATTTATATTATAAATCAAAAAATATTTGTTAATTCCCGTAGGTACATACCTACTTAAAGTACATTTTTAAGAATATAAACATATGAGGTTGCGCGTTATACGATACTTTCTATAGATAAAATTTCTGATATTATATTATAATATCCTATAGGAAACTTTTAAATGTATTATATGTAACAAACAATTGTTTAATACAAAAAATATTACATCATAATATTTGAATAATAAGTTTGACAACGTCGATCGATCTGCATGGTGCGCATTGGGCTGCGTTTGGTATGATTCATAGCAAAGTATGAATCATAAATTTCGTAGCGTCTTTTATAGCGTGCATCATTTTATTTATTGTTCTTTGAAAGTGCCTACCTATATAGTGATATAAGATTGCCTTGTTTATTTCAAATTATTTAAAGATGTCACAGGAAAACAAGTAAGTAAATTTATATTAAATATAACAAATTTTGTTGGTTTATACCAATGGCGGTTTAAGGTTAAAACATTAATGAAACCGTTGATTGAACACACTTTCTATTTCACGATTAATAATAATATATTCTATATAGGTATTGTTAATATCCTATTGATCTAAACATAAAATTATGCTTTTAAATATACCTGTAACACTGAGGAAAAAATTTGATCCCTACATTCATATAATTGTTGCAATTAAGCCATTGCTTCGGTAGTAGGTATAGGTACAGTAATATTTTACAAAATCTTAACTTAAGTTAGTTAGTTAATTAGTTATATTATTTTATAAATATCTGTTGTTACCTGTTTGCTCTGGGGTACATTATACTATTCATATTTAAGCAAACCGGCCCCAGTCTATAAACATATTTGGGTCTGCAAACAAACTGTTATTTGTTAAATTTATCCAGTTGTAGCTACAACTGTATATATTTGTAAGAATATCTTTAACTTAAGTTTACTTCATGGTTTTAGAATTAAAAAAAGAAAATACTCGAGGAGCTACAGCTATAAAATATTGGCTCGAGAGAGGGCAGAGTATCTTAAACTTGCTAAGATAGATAGCATAGCTAGCACCTCACATAGCATAATGGAGACTGTTAGCCTAAAGGGTGATAATCATAAATATGAAGACATTGTTGGGAATAAAAATGATAATGACATTGATAGTGATTCTAGTAATAATGACAGTGACATTGATAGTGAATCTATAAATAATGACAGGGACATTGATAGTGACTTTAGTAATAATGATAGTGACATTGGTAGTTACATTGATAGTGACTCTAGTATTCATGACAGTAACAGTGATTGCAATTTGGATGGCAGCGATAAGAGTGATATGGAAAATATTGAAGGAAATAATCGTAAACTACCAAAGGAACTTTCACAATTACATGTTGCATTAGATCATAAATGTAACCCAAAAGATTTTTTAATTAATTGGGCAATTAAAAATAATATTACACATTCTGCACTAAGTGAAATTTTAAAATGGTTAAGTACAAAACCAGATCTAAATAATATTCCAACAGATGCCAGAACTCTTTTAAAAACTCCAAAAAAAAACAATATTCAAAATCATAAAAAAGGGGATTTTTTTTACTTTGGTTTAGAAAATAATTTAATATCCATACACAAGGATTATCCTAAATTGTCTATAATGCGCTTAAATTTTAATATTGATGGTTTACCCATACAAAAAAGCACAAAAACTGCTTTTTGGCCCATTTTGTGTAACATAGAAAATGTTGAAAAGGTATTTGTAGTTGCCATATTTTGTGGTCAATCCAAGCCAGTTTTAGAAGAGTTTTTTGAAGAATTTGTGGAAGAAATGTTAAAATTAAAAGATGGGCTTCAAACTAAATCAGGAGTTGTAAAAATTAATATAAGATCATTTATTTGTGATGCTCCAGCCAAATCATTTGTAAAAAACATAAAAAATCACAATGGGTACTTTGGTTGTGATAAATGCTGCATTAAGGGAGAATATTATGATAACCGTATAATATTTAAAACCACCAACTCAGTTAGGAGAACAGATAAAGACTTTTTATTAAAAACAAATGAAGAACACCATAAAGGAATTTCTCCATTGGAAAGGTTAAATATTGGTATGGTAACCAAATTTCCTATTGATTATATGCATGCAGTTTGCCTAGGAGTAATGAAAAAATTATTAATTACATGGTCACAGGGAACCAAACATCTAAAAATTAGTAAAAAACTTGAAATAGATAGCCAAATATCAAACATTAAAAAATCTTGGCCAGCAAATTTTAACCGAAAACCAAGATCAATTTTTGAAATTGAAAGGTGGAAAGCCACTGAGTTTCGTCAGTTTTTATTATATATAGGACCCGTGGTTTTAAAGGGCGTTTTGGATAAAAAAAAATATGCAAATTTTTTAATATTTCAATTTGCAATATCAATATTGCTTTCAAAAGATTTAAATTCTAAATATAATGAGTTTGCATCAACATTACTAAATATTTTTATACAAGATGCTCAAGAAATATACGGTAAAGGGTTTTGTATTTACAATGTACACATCTTAAGTCATTTATCAGATGATGCCAAAAAATTTAATACTCTTAATTCTATTAATTCGTTTAAATTTGAAAACTACCTTGGCCAAATAAAACATTTATTGAGGAAATCTAACCAGCCTCTTCAGCAGGTGGTAAATAGATTAAAGGAAATTGATAAAGTGAATGCTCCTAAAGTTAATCAATGCGCAGTTAAAGAAATTTTGGAAAATAAAGTACCAGACCTAATTAAAGAAAAATATGTTAACCATAGATTTTATAGAAAAATTTGTATAAGTAGTGAAACATACACTAACAGAAATGGTGATAATGCTATTATGTTAATAAATAATGATATTGTTGTCATAAAATTCATTCGCAAAAATGTACTTACTGATAATTACACTTTGTTAGGACAAAAATTTGAGAGCATTTCTCCCTTTTTTGTTTACCCTAAAAATTCACAAATTATAGGTTTTTTTGAGGTTGATGACCTAAATCAAAATTTATTTAGTTTTAATTTTAATGATATTTTATGTAAGGGAGTATTAATGCCACATAACAATAAATTTGTTTTTGCAAAATTATTACATTTGTAATGTTTATTATTATTAGAAATAAATGAAGTAGAAAGTAAAAGATCTTGTTTTCAATTTTTAAAACATCTAGGCGTTGTTTTTGTTAATTAAATAATGTTTTTACATTTTAGAAATTACTATTTAGTAGAGTTTCCAGAAGAATTTCAAGATGGCCAAATTCCCATGGCAATAATTCCCAAGACATGGTTGTTGGGAAATAGCCATTGCCTTTGGCCAAATTTTAAAAATGAAAAGGATAAAATCAAAGCCATAATAAACAAAAATCCTCCAGAAAAAGATTCTGATAGATGCAAGATTTTAATAAAATATAAGACTGGTATGTGATATAATAAAATATACTTGAAATGCATTTGTTAATGTTTATAGAAGTGTTAATTTAACAACAAAACTTAATATATTAATTAATATAATTTTAGATTCCTACAATAAAGCCGTGGAGAAATTAAAAAAGATGGAAAAAGTATATGTTTCACAGCTCTCACAAAGTGATAGCGATAATGAAACTTTAAAAAGGCCTAAAAAGCCAAATAAAAAATATGTACATATAGATAGTGATAGTGATGATGCACTGCCAAGTATTCCACCTGTTCCATCAGTAGTGCAGTCTCCTATAAGGCAGCGCATTTTAGATGACAATTTTCGACTTGAAAGGCTTGAAGGTATGATTATAAATAAAATTTTAAAATAGAAAAGTACAATCATTATAATTTCATATACTTTTTGATCTAACAAATATTGCCTAAGGATTTTTATTTATTAAGTTTTATATTTTAGCAATGTTAGTTAAAATAAATTTGAAGCAGGATAAAATTCTAGAAGAAATAGAAGACCTAAAATTTAAAGTATGTGGAAATACAGTAAATACTGAGATGGAATGTTATGAAAGCTTCTCATTAATGACTACTCATGAAGAGTTAAAAAATTTCAATGAAAAGTTGGGGGAAACAGTTTTCTTTTCCAATATGGTATATCTTGACTTTTTGTTAATCTTTTATTATTTGTTCTGCCTTTTGTTATCATCTTGATTTAATACTAAAAACTTATAATTTTATGGGTGTTTCAGATTTTTACGTTAGACGTCCTATAGTGTATAAAAGCATATATGCTTTTATACACTTTTTGCATAAACTTAAAAAAAAATAAAACATCCTGTATAAAAATTATAATTTATAATTAGTTTAAAAAATCTCAATTAAAAAGTATTATTAAAAAATGGCATAACTTTCTAGTAGTTAATTTATTTTGATTATAATTTTAGTGCTCAAAACTAAGGCTTATTGGGGGAAAAGACGTAGTTGATTCCACAAGAAGAATACTATCTAAAATATTATCCAACAGTTTGGCTAAACAATACAACTGGAAGGGGAAAGGAGCAAAAAGCCCATTTGTGACCTATAATAATATAGTTAACCTCATAATAGGTAAGACTTTTATTTGTACAAGTATATTAAGTGTTTTAATATTTATTTTAAGGCTCACTAAGGTTAAACAACCTTACAAAAGATGCATCCACAACAGAGGTGGAAAGTGTCATCAAAGGTTGGTTAAGGACAGCTGGTGATAGGGAAGGAGGAAGAAGACAAAGAGACTCTTCTCTACCACAGAAATAATTATAATGATTTTATTACTTTAGTTTTGTAAAAAAAAAAATTTATTTTATAATTAAGAGTTTTAAAGATATATTTTATTTAATAGAAATACATTTTTTTATTTACTTTTTGTTTAAATGAATAATGATTTATTACCTTTTATTAACTAAATTTATCGAAATTGAAACAATTGTCAGGTAATATTAAAACTCAAATTTTACAAAACAATTTTATTAATGCACATGAAAATTTAATTATTTTACAAAAAGCCAAAATTTAGTAGGGTAAAGAATATTTTTGTCCCTAAATGGTAAGTACAATATATATAGCCAATATAATTTTTTATGATTTTCCCTGCTTGTTTGAAACCCCGAAAAAAAAAACTTTAAATATCTATAATATAGATTCTATATTATATACGATGTTTATTAACTATAGTTAATAAACATCGTCTATTGATGGCGGGTCGATGTCTAAAAACAACGGCGGGCCAATGTCTAAAAACAACAGCGGGCCAATGTCGGCATTTGATCGTTGGCTGACCGTTGACACTTGTCTCCTATTGACGGCGGGCCAATGTCTAAAAACAACAGCGGGCCAATGTCTAAAAACAACAGCGGGCCAATGTCGGCATTTGATCGTTGGCTGACCGTTGACACTTGTCTCCTATTGACGGCGGGCCGATTGTCGTAAATCAACGGCGGGCCAACGTAGTCATTATCGCTTGCTGACGTTCAGCCTCCCAAATGCCGCTGATAAATGTTTGCTGGGATGTTGAAAAGCAATATAAAAATATTCTAGATTATTTTTATATATCTTTATATAGTTGAGTTATATCAACGGTTATAATATTAGTTAGCAAAAGTAATATGATAACAGTTTTTATCATAAAACATATGCTTTGGAAATTTTATAGCTTAAATAAGGTTTATAATAGCATTGAACTTGACTGTTAGATGAAACCAAACACATGCTGATGGCATCTTACAACTTCCGGTTTTTCGGTTAATTTGTCAACCAGTTTTAACAAATTCAGTTTAGGTTCAACGAACACGAACATCGAAGCATACAATAGCAATAAACATTCTTTCGTTTAAAAATAAATGTCTACAATTCTCATTCATACTTTTCATACATACTACAGTACAGCTTTTTTTAACAATATAAATTTTATGAGTTTTGTGAGATACTAAAAAAATGTTTTAAATAGCTTTTGCTTACCTTTTCGTTGTCATATTCTTTTAGTTTTAATTTTAATTTAAAAAATCCTTGGCCGAATTTAATAAAACTTTTCAGGTTTTTAGTAATGGGCAAAGGGCTTAATTTAATCTAATTAAATTAATTTATTGGATCTGGGGCATCTCGACTAGATATTTAAAAATAAAATTTGTCTTTTGCATTTTTTCTCTATTTTGTTTAATTTTGAAGAAAAAAAATAAATTTCTTTTATTTGTTTGCCCTTGACAAAATTATTACGAATGGATAATAGTACATTTTTGATAAAACGCCATTTAAGTCACGAATTTTAAGTATGCACGAGTGAGCTTGCGAGCGAGTGTTTAATTAAATGAGTGTCTAGAAAAGCTTATGAACGAGTTGCATACTATACTTTTTGTACGACAAATACTTTTGATCTAAAAATGATTTAAATTAATATAGAGCGACATCTATAAAAAATAGAGTAACTTGCGTAACAATTTCTAACTTGGGAATCTGTATTACCGGCGCGCCAGTCAAAATGTAAAATTTCACATTGAAAGTGAAGATAATGTTTTATGGACATTTTACAGTAAAAAAATATTGTTAATATTTTATCCAAATGTTAACTGGATTTTGTTGAATGTTAATCCAGGTCCACATAACTTTATGTAAAGTTTACAACCAACAGTAATCTGTTAACTAATTGAATAAGTACTTTGTTATTATATAACAAACATTTTGTAGATTTAATAACAAAATCCTGTGTCAATATTTTAACCATAATTCTTGTAATTTTGTATTTTTACAAACCTTTTTGTAGACCCAGTAACAAAAGTATTTTTTGTAACTCTCGGAAGTTAAATGAAAAAAATTTGATAAGAAATGTTTCTTTTTTAGTCAATTTCCTAAACAAAAAAATTAACACATATGTCTTATTTTCAATAATTAATTAATTATTTATTTATTGAGCTCAATAACAATTCATAATTACTTAATAATTAATTTTATTCAAACACTATGCTTTAAAATAGTAAGTGATTCTGTATACAGTAGTATAGTCAACAGTATACTGTTGACTATACAAAACGTCGCAATTTATAATGATGTAAGACAAACATAATCTCAAATATTGGATAAAAGCACCTCTCAGACAAACATACACCAAACAGCAAATTAAACATAGATGATGTATAGAAACATGTTTAAGAAATTCTTTAAATATGTAGCTAATAAACATGCATGGTTATAATTATAATTTTGTATTATCTTAATAGTATTTTCAGATTGGCCTATGAAAGTATCGTGTGTCTGAAAATAATACTAAATTACTAAACTTCAACTTTGATACATACGTTTTTATCTTCTCATGTAAAATGTTTCATTTAAGCGCATAGGCGTCTCTGTTTTAATGCCGAGGTATGTTAAACCAGATTAAACCATAATCTTTTCTTTATAAATATTTTTTACGCAAGTGTAGAGTTAGTTGGGTTTCATTACAATTTATTTAGTTAAAAATTAAGTTTATTATGCAGGGACGCAGCGAAAGTTAGAATCATGAGTTTGGGGACCCTGGGCTAAAAATCTTTGTGGGCCTATCAATAATTATATATGTACACTAGGGTGTCCCTTATTTTTATTTTTTTTACGCATACCCTCTAATTATATTTATTACTTGTATATATACTCCCAGTAAAAATTTCAGCTCATTCTATAAACGGGAACCCGTGCCGACTTGCATCTAAACACTCCGTTACCAACGTTAGGCGCGCGCGGTATTTTGTAACACGAAACACTTTAAAAAGAAGATATACTTCATGACTGTATTTTTCTAATGATTTTATTAAATATGATTACTAATTAATATTATTGCTTTTTTTTCTATCATTTGTTTCACTAATTTAGTTGATTTTATCCCTTAAATATATTAATATACTAATTAGTATTGCTAAAATATACTGTTATATGAAATTTCAGCTTTTTATAAGCATTTAAATGCTTCTTTTCTTGATGTCCTCCCAAAAATATTTCAGACAGTTCAATAAGTTTTTGGTAGTCATCTCTCACAATAGACTCTTAGTTATTTAGAGTAAAACCCATTAAGTTTATCAATTTCAAAGTTTACGGCCTATTCACCAGACCCTTCAGGGTAACTAGCAACTGTGAAAATATACATTTTTATCAATGTATACACATAAATAAAACTATATCTTAACATTTGTCAATAATTTGTAATATAAGGGTCACATAATAACAAACACAAAATGATTGGTTGGTTGGTGTTACAAAATACCGCGCGCCTAACGTTGGCTAACGGAGGGTTCAGATGCAAGTCGGCACGGGTTCCCGTTTATAGAATGAGCTGAAATTTTTACTGGGAGTATATAAACACGTAATAAATATAATTAGAGGGTATGCGTAAAAGAAATAAAAATAAGGGACACCCTAATGTACACTGTACATTGTACAGACAACAAAACAACAAATTTCAAATTCAAAATTAAAAAACAAGAAAAAAATTACACTTATTTTGTATAAAATATAAACCCTTCTAGCATTTATAAAAGGTGTCGGGATAAGACCTGTACAATGCAATTCTTGGTTTAATATATTTCGACTTAACCCAAATAAAAAATGCTTTGTTTAGGTGCTAGCTGCATTTATAATATGTAAAAAAGATTATTTTATATTGCAGTATCGACTATTTTTTTTCTATAAAATTTAATAGCCTCATAAGCCTGTTAAAATATCATCCATTAATATTATTGGTTGCTATTTGCGATTTTACATTTAAAGTAAGTAGGTATATGAGATTTTTTTTTAGAGTTATTTCACTCGTTAACGGATTAATGGATGATTAGAACTTTTATTTTATAAAACTAAAGGCTCCACAATAAAGTTTACGTATTATTTAATGATAAATATACTTGTTAAAAAAATATTTAGGACAAATTCATAGCAAATTTTATGTTTTTCTTACTTTCCCGGAAAAAAACATCAGACTTGTCACAAAATGTTGACAATGATCATACATTTTTTGCAGATCATTTTATTTTTTATAAAAATATGTAATTATTTTTAAATACAAATATTTTTTTGCGATAAAATTGATATATTTTTTTAAATTAATTAGTGTTTAAACAGAAATATTAATTTGGTTTAAAAAATTAAAAAATTACACAATTTTCTGTCAAATTAAATGATCTAACAAAGTCCTATAACGTTTTATTATTAGTCTGATAGTTTTAGCGGAGAAGTAAGAAAAACTTTAAATTTATCATAATTTTTAGCTTAAATAATTTGAGGCCTTTTTGTTGAGCGTTTACTTTAAATAATCTATAAGAATAATATTTTTAATTTTAATTAATTAATTAACTTTTAATCATTTAATTTCATTAATTCGTTCAAAATATATATTATTTCCAAAGTTATTTTTTTTCATGCTACTTAAATCAAAAATAGAAAATCGCGATGACGGGCCTCTTAATAGTAATATTAAGATCTTAAATTTTAACAGGCTTAATATTTTACCTTTATGCAACATTAAATAGTCGATTTTTTAATCAGTCTAATTTATATATTTTTAATTTGCATCGCGTTGGGGGGCCTCGATCGGACGGGGCCCTGGGCTGCAGCCCATAATGCCCATGCCTAAATCCGCCCATGATCATGGGGGGTGAATTTTATTAAAATACCGACTTTTTTGAAGATTTTGCCGACTGCAGCAATTTTTTATAGGGGCTAATAAGTTTTTAAAAGTCGGCATTAGCTGCAGCTACAGTCGGCAGCTAATAAAATTTTCGAAAATCCCGAGTGCTTACTGAATTCACCCACATAAAAAATCTAACATAGTACAAGAACAG